GAGTTGGATTTATAACTTTCTCAAGAATATAAGTGAATATAACCCAACAACAATTGGAACTCGGTTCTCCGATTAACAATTTGGAGTTTTTACACCAGCTGCACATCCAAGCTAGGAGAACCTTGTATTCCCAAGCTGTAACCCAGCTAGGTACAGACCAGGCTCGACGTTGCTTAACTTAGATGATCGTACGAGAACCGGTGTTCCAACGCGATATGGCCGTATGCCCCTTATATCACTGGCACATCCAATCGAACATCACCTGGTCTTCCTAAACGGTCTCCCAGCTAGGCACTGACAAGGCTCGACGTTGCTTAACTTCTTTGATCGTACGAGAACTACTGTTCCAACATGATATGGCCGTAAGTCCCTATGCCACTCGCACATTCAAGCCAATATCACCTGGTGTTCCCAAGCGGTCACCCAGCTTTGTATTGACCATGCTCGACGTTGCTTAACTTAGATGAATCCATGTTTTAACGCGATACGGCCCTAATCCCCCGAAATACTTAAGTGAACCGTTGAACGTGCCGCAGAATATTAAATCTGTTTTAATCCGGATTTAACTGTATAAGCAATATCCATGTTATTTTGAAAGGGTACCTCTGTTTAGTAAAAGGTACCCCAGTTTCTTTGTGAGTATCGAACGCACTCCTAATGATCCGAATGTACATATTACTGACAATTACAGTCGAATGAGATGTCCAAATATTGCAGGATATTGTTCATTTTGGAGAGCACAATTTTTGTCTTTTAATTTCTTTCTCAGATGACCTTTGCCTGGTTTTAAGAAATAAAAAAAGAAACTTGTTCTGGACACAAACGGAATGGTTTGAATGGAATCTAAATATCACAGCGTCTGTTTTGGCCTTCGATATGAACAAACACTGCAGCCATTCTCTGCACATGTTTCCTGATTTTATTTTTATTGTGGTTTGGCTTCACGGACGGAAGATCTGACAGTTGTTTTTTTTTTGTGTGTTTTTTTTCACATTTGTTGCAGTTCGTGTGGTTATAAAAGTGACCCACAAGAGACTCGTCATAGCTTTCTATAATCTGTTTAAAATATTTGGATAAAAAAAACACTATTTTTTTAACATTTTATGCTGCATTAAAATATTGTGAACCTAAATATAACATTCTGTGACTTCCGTTAGTCCGCCACAACCGCTATTTTAGAGGATGTGACGGACTAACGCAAGTTAGCCAATGACTGATCAAAACCAAATTTTTAAGGAGGTACAAAGTAAAGGTCTTTTGGGGTTTTTTGTTTACTAACATGCGTATCTTAGTACAATAAATTTTCATTATTATTATTTTTTTTTTTTTTATTTTATTATTAATTTTATTATTTGACTACCACTATTTACATTATTCGGATTATTGTCCTCATCTTTGTCGCCATATTTATTACAACGTTTCGGCCTTTCAGTATCTGTCTATATTTCTGAGATGAGGTATTATGTACACTATTTACATTATTCGGACTATTGTCCTCATCTTTGTCGCCATATTTATTACAACGTTTCGGCCTTTCAGTATCTGTCTATATTTCTGAGATGAGGTATTATGTACACTATTTACATTATTCGGACTATTGTCCTCATCTTTGTCGCCATATTTATTACAACGTTTCGGCCTTTCAGTATCTGTCTATATTTCTGAGATGAGGTATTATGTACATTATTTACATTATTCGGACTATTGTCCTCATCTTTGTCGCTTATATTTATTACAACGTTTCGGCCGTTGTACGCTCCGGACTTCTTCAGGTGGTTGGAAGGTCACCTGTTATTTTCGCTCACTGGAGTAGACTGTTCTAGGACCGTTACCAGGCGAGCGATACAGGCGGTGAAGGTGGGAGTTCCTGCAGAACCTCCACAACCAAAGTCGGTCGCCGAACGGGTCCTCGACAGCGACCTCTCCTACGAGGGGCTCGTTGCCGAACGGGCCTTTTCCGACGAGGACTTCCTGCGTTAATGGAAGCAGATATTCGAACGTCCTTGCTATGTGGATCTGGCCGGAAATCATCCCGGCCCGCCGATGAACGAACTCGCTGCGTCCATCAATTGAATTCCCATGTCTAATGGATGTCACTTATTAGTTATCTCCTGTTAATTACCCTCTTCAAGTTCTCCACACACTTTGGGTCCTGTTACTGGCTCTAGTCAACGTCTTTATCCGCTGTGCCATGTGTCCTTGAGGACATCTGTGTATGAATTTCTGGGTATTATAAACCTAATTCCAGTAACCATTTAAGGCAGTGAAGAATTTGGTCAGGGGAATTAACAGGAGATAACTAACAATCTGGTCAGTACCTAAATGCATGACCGCTTGGGAATACCAAAAAAACCATAAGATTTGGTGTGCGGGTGGTGTAATGAGCTTTTGTTCATAGCACGTTGAACACAACGGTTCTCGTACGTTTAGTGCTGTGAAGCAACGTCGAGTCTGGTCAGTACCTAAATGGGTGACCGCTCGGGAATACCAGGTACTGTATGTTTGGATGTGCGGTAAGTTCAATGGATAATGGATTGGAATTGTTTATCGGAGAGTCAAGTCCAAATTCCCGTTGATTTCATTATATTTACTTATGCGCAAATACCATTGGGAAAGGTATGAATCCACCTCTTCCCCGATTCGAAATTCTCGTTTTAGACGAGACTTTGTAAATACAGATACCGGTAGTAGTAACACTATCAATTAATACTCGCACTAATAATCAAATAGTAATCGCCGAATCGTAATTCATATAAGGATCAGTACAGAGAAATAGTATAGACGATAGAATAGAGCAGTTTTTCTAAACCAGGGGTCCCCGGAAACCTAAGGTTCCACAAAAGGTCCCCAAGGATTCCGCGAGAATGGATGAGATAAACGAATGCACTTTTGTCTTTTTATTTAATTTCATATACCTAATATTACTAAACACACACAACATATTCTTGGTTCACTATTTACATTATTCGGACTATTGTCCTCATCTTTGTTGCCATGTTTATCACAACGCTCCGGCCTTCTTCAGGTGGTTGGAATATCGAACTGAACCCTCTATTTCGCTCAGTGGGGTAGACTGTTCCACTTCCACGTACCATGTCTTATGGATATCAGTTATCAGTTATCTCCTGTTAATTTCCCTCTGAAAGTTCTCCACTGACTTAACCGGGTATTGAACTCACACTCTTTGGTTCCTGTCACTGAATCTAACCAACACCTTTATCCTCTGTGCGCAAATACCCTTGGGAAAGGTATGAATTCAACTCTTCCCCATCTTTGGGTTAAATACTAAGACTTGTATCACTAAAACCATTATTATCCCCTCCCGACGAAAAAAAAAATTACAATCTAACAAATATTTTCTGGCTTTAAATAACCTGCAAAGGGTTGATAAGCCATAAGATACGAATCAATCAGTCAATATTTCCTCAGTCTGGAAAAACCCTGCCATGCAGAAGAATAAAATCATAAAGTTGGACACAAGAAAAAAAATGAACAGGCAAACTCATGAATAGTTTAATGTCTCTCAAAATGTCTCTTTGCTTACATACGACGAATAGTCGGGAAATGAAATATTTAAAAATCAGCTTTCTTTTTCTGTCTATCGTAACATCGCTTCCCTGTGTCTTGTCTATAAATACTTCCATGGTAATTGTGCGGATGAACTTTCCTCTCTGTCTATATCTCTGAAATGAGGTATTATTATTATTTACATTATTCGAGCTGTTATCTTCATCTTCATTGCCATATTCACAACGTTTCGGCCTCTATATCTCTGAGATGATGTATTATGATGTAGTATTTACTTGCAGACTATTTATCTTCATTGCCATATTCACAACATTTCGGAAAATCTGTGAGGTATCCTCTTCTTCATTGCCATATTCACAAAGTTTCGGCCGTTGTACGCTCTTGCCTTCTTCAGATGATTGGAATTTCGAACCGAACTCTTTATTTCGTCCACCGCGGTAGATTGTTCTAATTCCACGTGCTATATCTCTTCTGTCTCAGTTATTTCCCTTTAACTCAACTCTGCAAGTTTTGGTTCACCACTGCTGTGGCCTGGTATTGAACTCACAACTCTTTGGGTCTAGTCACTGGATCTAACAAACGTCTTTATCCATTGGGCCATGTGTCCTTGAATTTTTCTCTATTGACGTTTTATTTTAAAGTGTTTTATATTATTCTCTACCCCGACAGACAAATTGTACGTATGAGACTAGTTAGCACTTCACAGAGACCCTGAGGTATTTTGGAGACTGTAGTGAGAATGTTAATTAAGAATGTGATGTTTCGGCGTAAGGAATATTGTGTTATTGTTTGGAACAGTAATTGTGGCTAAGTAAGTTTAATTATAAAACAGATTGAAGACCAACCTTCCGCTATTCCCACTGTTGCCCTTGTGACACATTTTTGAATCACGCAAAATAAATATTACTTTCTTTTATGGTAAAATATTCATTGGGGTTTCATTTTTAAAAGTTGTTATTTTTATTCCTCCCCGCCCTCCCAGACAAATTGTACATATGGGAACTAGTTAGGACTTTATCGAGACTCTGAGGTATTGTGGTGACTGTAGTAAGAATAGTAAGAAAGATTGTTTTGGTGTAAGGAATACTGTGGTATGTTTGGGTCAGTAATCGTGGCTAGATAAGTTTAAGATAAGACAGACTGAAGACCAGCTTCTTCATCTCCCCTTTTGGTCTTTTGTATTAAAAAATTACTTTCCGCTATGTTATCGTTGTAATTATTCATATTTCATTTTTAAAAGTTGTTATTTTTATCCTCCCCACTCCAAACAAATTGTACATTTGGGAACTAATTAAGACTTCATAGAGACTCTAAGGCATTATGGTGGCTGTTGTAAGAATGGTAAGTAAGAATGTGTTGTTTTAGTGTAAGGAATACTGTGGTATGTTTGGGTCAGTAATGGTGGCTAGCTGGGTTTTATTATAAGACAGAAGAACAGCCTTTTACATGCACCCCCCCGCCCACCATTTCTGGCTTTGTGACACAATTTTACATTTTACAAAATAAATATTACTCTCCTCTATGGTACTTAGACTATAAATTTAAGTGCAGTACTAAATTGGCGCCAAGGTATCATCATTTTACAGTTGAATTAACCATAAATTCTATGCTAACAGTTTCTTTTCTCACACTTCTCGCTTGTGGAACTCTTTATCGGTTTCTTGCTTTCCAGTCAAGTTTAATTTTGAAAAATTTAAATGCAACATCAATCTGTCTTCATAATTTCTGTTCTTTTATTGTTCTCGCTCCGTTAATAATGTTTTTCGTTTTCATATATCCTTTCATACACGGTAATCCTGTTGCTTATTAAAAGACAGATTGAAGACCAGTCTACCCATATCCCCCTTTGGGTCTTGTGCCACATTTTGGTATTACGCAAAATAAATATCACTTCCTTTTATGGTAAAATATTCTTTGAGGGTTCATTGTTAAAAGCTGTTATTTTTACCCAGCCCCAAGACAAACTGTACGTATGGAAACTAGTTAGGATTTCATAGAGACTCGGTGGTATTATAGTGACTGTAGTAAAAATGGTAATTAAGAATGTGTTATTTTGGTGTAAGGAATACCGTGGTAAGTTAGGGTCAGTAATTTTAGCTAGCTAAGATTATTTATAAGATAGATAAAGACCTGCCTTTTTTTTTCATCCACCCTTTTGGCCTTGTTCCACATTTTTATATTTTTCAAAATAAATATTACTTTCCTCGGTGGCACCTAGACTATGAATTTCAGCGTAGTACTAGATGAAATGGCTAGATGTAGCTGTAAGTTCTATGTTGACAGTTTCTTCTATCGCATTTCTCATTTGTGGAACTCTCTTCCGGGTTCTTGCTTCCCAGTCAACTTTGATCTTCAAGAATGTAAATTCAATGTCAATCTTTATCTTACGTCTTGTTAATTCTTGTTCTTTTATTGTTCGATCTCTTTAATACTGTTTTTTTCTCTCTCTTATTCTCTAGCTCTCAGTAACCCCCATTGCGTCTTAGAGGCTTTATCGCCTTGCTTGGGGGGTGGATCGATTAAAAACCACACAAACATCAAGTGAGCATTAGTATCTCATCGAGAATCATGTGCTTCTCTCTGTTGATCTCGGTTTATTCATATCTATTTCATTCTCTTCATATCTATCAATATTATTCTATGGATTTAGAAACAGTCGTCTAAAGCAGCGTTTCTCAACCAGGGTTCCCCGGAAGCCTAAGGTTCTGCACAAGGTACCCAAGGGTTCCGCGAGAATTTCATGAAATAGCTCTGAAAGTAACATTTTCTTATCCCATTTATTGGTTCACAGATCATTTTTTCTTGATTTCCCTTTTGTCTTTTCAACATTGCCAGTAAAGGATAAAAATTTTTAAAAAACAGATGCAGCAATTATCTGTTTTCGTTCTATTTACATTTACAGGTATATGATCTTGGTTACTTATGTTTGTTATTTACGTTTGAGTTTAGAATATTTTATGACGGTCTATGGAAGAGGTTCCTTCCTTGCAAGATTGAAAATGCAAAAACGACCCTTATCAGCAACCCGCCAATTTAAATTGCTACCCCCACTTCAATTGGGGATGTGCCTCAGTTGCACCCAATTGTTGTTACTAATATTGATTTTCGGGTGGGCTGACTTTAGACTTAAACTGCTCGAAGTGAACGGCAAAAATTCCCAGTAATGAAACACCCGGTCGAAGGCGGGTTATCCTGCTAGTTTTTATTTAAAGTTCGTCTTTACTTGACTTTTGACGAACCTTGGAACCAGTGAAACTTTCTTTTGTGATGTTCGAACGCTGACTCGTTTTAACGTTCGTTCGGTCAACGAATACTCGTTATCGCATCCGAAATTCTCGTTGTAGACGAGACTTTGTAAATGTAGATACCGGTAGTTTTAACGCCTTCAAATAATACTCGCACTAATAATCAAATAGTAATCGCCGAATAGTAATTCGTATAAGGATCAGTATAGAGAAACAGTATAGAGTATATAATAGAGCAGAGTTTCTCAACCGGGGGGCCCCGGGACCCTAAGGTTCCGCAAAAGGTCCCCAAGTTTTCCGCATGAACAGCTAAGATGAGCTAATGCACTTTTGACTTTTATTTAATTTCATATACCTAATATTACTAAATACACACAATATATTCTTGGTTCACTATTTACATTATTCGGACTGTTGTCCTCATCTTTGTCGCCATGTTTATCACAACATTTCGGCCGTTGAGCGCTCTAGACTTCTTCAGGTGGTTGGAATGTTGAACTGAACCATTTATATTATTGGTTATTGTAATATTCTGTTTACATTTATATTATAGGTATATGATATTGGTTACATATTTTTATTTTTTTACGTATGAATTTAGAAATTTTTTTGTGTGTGAAAAAAAACTTCCTGATAAAGTATTATAAACGAACAGTATGAATTTTATTTAGCATTACCGAAAAATTTAACAAAGAAGTAATAATTTTTCCTTAAAGCAGTTATTCAA